TTGAAAAAAAATTAAAATAAATACTATTAATATGAATAAATATTTTTAAACGGCGTATAGCCGTACGGGTATACTATTAATTTGAATAAAAATAAAAAAGGAATATAGCCGGGCGGCTATACCATTATTTTGAAAAAAAAAACACAGAGTTTAGCCGAAAATTGAATGAAAATTTCAAAAAAAACGGGAGTGCTATGCTATTAATTTAAATAAATATTTAAAATGGAGTATAGCCGGGCGCCTATACTATCAATTTGAATTTGTGTTTGAAAAGCAGAGTATAGCCGCCCGGCCATACGATTAATGTGAATAAAAATAAAAACGGCGTATAGCCGGGCGGCTATACTATTATTTTGAAAAAAAAAACTCGGAGTATAACCGCTCGGCTATACTATTAAACTGAATAAAAATTTTAAAAAAAAAACAGGAGTGCTATACTATTAATTTGACAAAATATTAAAAAATGGGGTCTAGCCGGCCGGCTATATTGTCAATTTGATTTTTTTTTTGTTGAAAACCAGCGTATATCCGGGCTGCTATACTGTTAATCTGAATAAATATTAAAAACGGAGTATAGCCGTTCGTTTATACTATTAATTTGAATATAAAAAAACGGAGTATCGCCGGGCGACCATACAAATATTTTGAAAAAAAAAACACGTAATTAATTTGAATAAATATTAAAAAGTTGAGTATAACTGATTTGAAAAAAATATTAATATTTAAAAATCCACGGAGTATAGCGCTTGGCTATATTATTATTCTGAATAAATATTAAAAAAATACAGTATAGCCGTACGGCGATATTATTAGTTTGAATAAATATTAAAAGGGGGTATAGCCGTGCGGCTATACTATTATTTTGAAAAACGCAAGCCAGCTATACTTTTCCGTTGGGATTAGAATGGATTAATGCCGGCGAATTTTTTAATTCAGTAAAAACTTAAGCCGACGAAGATTTTGCCTGGGTTCAAAAAATAGTCAGTAGGCAGATCCAATGCAAATCCCTGATTTAGTCTCTTCTCTGGGCCAACAATGGTTAAGTATAACACGTTTTCTTATGAATTCAAGTACTATACTGTATATATTAGAATGTTAACCTATGAAATTTGGAGCCAAGACTTGCCTCAAATTATTGGATATTTTCTATTTAAACCCCGCATTTCTCTTTGTTCACCCCCAATACTTAAATCATTAAGCAATAAGTTTTATTATTGTGTAAAAAGACAAAAAAGGTCATCCAACTTAATAATTAACCCTAGTACATCTATACACACAACCCACACACCCCACCACTCTTTATATTAAGTTTTAGAAAAATACAAACTCCTCTACATCCTATTTAAATTGGATCAGGACAGAGGTAAAGTATAAATTGGATCAGATCAGGACAAACTCCTCTACTTGGAGAGAGGTAAAGTTGTTCTCTTTCTCTCGAAAGTATTAAATTTTGGGTTTGGGGTTCCATTTGTTTGTGTGTTTTTTTGCTAGGAACAAAGAAAATTGTGGGGTTTAAATAGAAAATCTCTTTTATTTCTTATTTTTTCAGTTTGGGGTGTATTTAAGGATAGTTTGGGAAGATAGTGGGGTTTTCTTAGAAATTGTGAAAATTTAAATTAAAAGATGGGGTGAACTAAGAGAAATGTGGGGTTTAAATAGAAAATCTCAATTATTATCGACCGTTTAATAGCTAGTATTGCTTTCCAAGAGTCATGTACGATTGTCAAACATTTTTAATTTTTAATTTTTCTTCTCTAATAAGATAATTAAGGACTCATATGCACTTATAAATAACAGGTTTGGGTTCAGCTGAAAAAAAAAGAAAAAAAAAAGGCAAAACTCCTGAGGAATTATCAATCATGGATTGGAAGAGCATGAGTTTGATATTGGTTATTATTATAGTTTTGCAAATTGAAATGGCTAGACCAATTCCTCTCCTCCTCCCTCCTCTCCCTCCAACCCCATGATGCCGCGCGCCTCAATATTTTGGTGCTTACTACTCCTTGCTACGAGAGATGCTTGAATTCTTGCCCAGCAGACTTCACCTCCAAAGAATGGGATTATATATGTACACATGATTGCTGTAATTTATTCAGATGTCTCTAAGCTTGTGTATATGAGAGATGTTGGGTTTGGTTATTATGTGGTACGCAGATGTCTCTATTTTATTTCTATGTTATTTTATTAGAGTGGTGCTATTTACACCCCTCTGTCTTATTTTCCCACCCACCTTATCTTCCAACCCATCATGTAAATTTGAAAAAAACACAATCCTATTTTTCCACCCACCATTATTCCTAAAATGCCATTTTAATTATTAATTCAACCAAGATAAAGTAAAATATTAATAATAAAAGGCCAAAAGTCACTTTTGGTCCCTGTAGTTTGGTACTTCAATCACTTTTGACCCTGTAGTTTCAATTTCGTCACTTTTGACCCTGTAGTTTCATATTTGGAGCAATTCAAGTACAATGTAAAATTTCTGTCAATTTCTTTAACAGAGCAACCACGTGCCTCTCACGTAGAGGGGCAATATTGTCATACCAAAACCCAAAGCTGATCTCTACCTCTTCCCCAGGGCGCGAAAATGGGCAACCCAAATCTCAAAATCCTCCCTCCTTCACTATCCCAAATTCCCAGCACCTAACCAATCTCTATTTCCTCCATCCCTTTCTCTTTCCCTACAGATTCAATCTTCCAAATAACCAATTTCTCTTCCTCCTTTCTCAACTCCCTCCACCATTCTCCACCTCACACCCACCACCACTCAGCAACTATAGCAATTGAAGGAGAAAGTGGCTGCTTTGAAAATAAAGTACAAAACCAACGAGTTCTTGTTTTGATGGTTGGAGGGCTTTGATGTATTTTTACTTATGGTTTTCTTTGGATTTGGCTTTAGTTGCTGTTGCCTGGTGGTTTTGTTTTGTATTTATGCAGGATCGTTTATTCATGTCTTGGCCTTTCTGGGGCTTTTCTAATGAAGTATCTTTCTATAAAATAAAAAAATAAAAAACCAAGGATTTAGTATCTTTCTATTATGATTGTTAAATCTGATTGCTATTTCACAATGAACATTTGAGTGTTTTTTTTAGTCAAATCTGATTGCATTATACCCAAAACAGGGGTCTTACAGTTGCAGCAAAAAAAGCATGTCTGATAACAAAAGAATTCAAGGCCCGTTACAGTAACAGCAAAAGAAGAAAGTTCACAAAAGCATGTTGATTGGTGGTGGGTGTGAGGTGGAGAATGGTAGAGGGAGTTGAGAAAGGAGGAAGAGAAATTGATTATTTGGAAGATTGAATCTGTAGGGAGAGAGAAAGGGATGGAGGAGATATAGATTGGTTAGGTAGGTGCTGGGAATTTGGGATAGTGAAGGAGGGAGGATTTTAAGATTTTGGTTGTCCATCTTCGTGCCATGGGGAATGGGTAGAGACCAGCTTTTAGTGTGGGGTTTTGGTCTGACAATATTGCCCCTCCATGTGAGAGGCATGTGGTTGCTCCGTTAAATAAATTGATAGAAATTTAATATTGTCCTTGAATTGCTCCAAATATGAAACTACAAGGTTAAAAGTGACGAATGTCTTATTTTCCCACCCACCTTATCTTCCAACTCATCATGTAAATTTGAAAAAAACACAATCCTATTTTTCCACCCACCATTATTCCTAAAATGCCATTTTAATTATTAATTCAACCAAGATAAAGTAAAATATTAATAATAAAATAACATAGAAATAAAATATAAACAAGTCTCTCTCCTTCTCTCCTCACCTTCCCGACCCACCCCAACCCTTGAAGCCCTCAAGCCTAGCCATCATTCCCTCCCCCACCCCCTTCAGCCTCCATAATTCCCTCTCTATACACTCATTAGATAACTCTTCTTTATTATTATTGCTTTCTCTGCTCCTTCTTCTAAAATGCGTATTGTTGGGTCCTCCAATTTTCTGCAAACCAGAGCCTCCATTGTCTTCCTCCTCTTAGGAATTTGGATTATAGAAGAGTGAGCTTCAATTTTTCTCAAAAAAATTCAAATTGTGGGCAATTTTTTCTTCCTGAAAGTAAAGAGAAAAATGAAAATTTCTTTCTTTTATTACTTGTTATATTTATTGTGCCTGACTTGGTCTTGCTTAAAAATCGAGTAAAGTTTCAAGCTTTCATGGTGGCAACATCATCTTAAGCTTTCCTTCAAGATTTGGTTCAGCTACCAAAAGCCCCAACAATCTTAAATGTTTCCTAGTCTGTTGAACAAGACTCGTAAATAAGTGCTGCAGGGGAATGGTGGCTAGGGTTGCTTAGGGGTGGCTGTAGAGATTCCAAGGATGGGTTGGGGGTGGCTTGGGAAGGGGAGACATAAGGAGAGAGATTTTTTTTCATAATGAAAATCTTATTTTATTATTTTATTTTATTTTAAGGAGAGTTTGAGGTTTTTTCCCCGAGTCCTTAAAAGTAATTTTACAAAGGGGTAGATTTGTCTTTAAAACTTTGATTATAAGGTGGGTGGAAAAATAGGACAGGTGGGTGAAAATAGCAGCACATTAATATTTTACTTTATCTTGGTTGAATTAATAATTAAAATGGCATTTTAGGAATAATGGTGGGTAGAAAAATAGGATTGTGTTTTTTTTCAGATTTACATGATGGGTTGGAAGATAAGGTGGGTGGGAAAATAAGACAGAGGGGTGGAAATAGCAGCACTCCTCAATAATAATGGTGCTCTTGATCTTTATTATTTAGCCTTTTTTTTTTTGTCTAAACCATGAGGTGGTCCTGGATGGGCCCCAACTATGGGTGGCACCATTATTTAGCCTTTTTTATTGTCTTGTTGCATAACTTTTTTTTCTGTCAACTTAAACGATGATGCACTGCATTTTCTGAGCAAAAATTTGTGGAAAGCGGGCACAAACAATGGCTTCCAAGACCTCTCTCTGGTTCAATGTTATTGCTTCTTATAAAAAGAAAATAGGAAAAGTTTTTTAACCCATACAGAGAGCTCATAGGAGTGGTCGAGAAGAAAGTGCATTAAGCGGAAGTCTTGGAATTAATACACTTCATCAAGCCTCAGTTCCTTCCTATACAAGCCTCTTTTGTTCCCTGGGAAATAAATTCTAGAGCTACTTCTCCTCAGTAAAGCTGTAGCTCATATGAATGTATTGGTAACTCATTTCAAAGTAATAAAAACTGCCCTGCATGCAGTACCCACTGAAAACAAAACCTGCTGCTTTTCATAATCACTTTTCTTTGCTACAGCATTATAATCCTCGTTTTGTCTTTTATCCAACACTGGTATTGGTAACTCATTTCAAAGTAATAAAAACTGCCCTGCATGCAGTACCCACTGAAAACAAAACCTGCTGCTTTTCATAATAACTTTTCTTTGCTACAGCATTATAATCCTCGTTGTCTTTTATCCAACACTCGTATCATCAACAAATTAATTTTGTTCGAACCCCTACTTTTAGTATGACTTTGAATGTCTTGATAACCTGTTCTATAAACTACAGTTTGCCGGATGATGATTATGATTACCTGTGCTTTTCGTCATAGCACAGAACAGTCATCTTCGTTGAAATTCATCTGACAATGCCGCCAACTCCATCCTATATACTCGAGGATAAATCGTGTTCAACCATACTCTGATCTCACAAAACAGGCTTTTTACAAGAAACGTTCCTGCTAAGGAAACGATATCAGAGATTCTACATGTTAGCGAAATGAACTCAATGGATTCACTAAAAACAAGGACCCTGCGAACGTCAACCTAGGAAAATACCCTTTTACCAAGGAAAGTGCCTTGCATGTACTGCACCCCTTAAGTGCAGTGGATTTCACGAAAAATCCCTGCTCAGTGTTTATGGTAAAAGCATGGTTGAAATAAATCTTAAAACATGTTACTATTGCTTAGTTGAATTACATTTCGCAGGCTATATGGGCAGAAGGGCTGACGTATAACTGGTACAAGTGTGAATGTTGCCAGAAGAGTGAAATGATGGAAAGTGCACAAAAGTTGGGCTTCCAACAAAAAAACCATTCCTAGGAAATATTTTCTAGTTAGGTATATGACTACAAAACGGTAAAGTTGTATTTTTTTCTTTCTTTCTAAACTTACCGTTCTTAATAGGGGGGCCCATTCAAGATAAGTGTAAAAGGGAAATAATAAGTAAAATTAATTAAAAGATATAGCATTTCCAATACAGAAAAGATACTTACTTTCAGAAGAAATGGCTGGCCATTAAAAGTTGTGGGACCTCTTTGTCTTCTTCAACCTCTGCTGAAGCTTCAGCTTTAATTTCTTGAACCCTTTCATCCCATATGTTATCTATCAGCTTCCAAGTTTTATCATTGACTCGTTGGGTCTGCAAAAAGAATTAGACAACAATTGGCTAGCATGATGACAAAACATTGCAATAGAAAACCCCGGTAAAGCATAATTCACTAGATACCTCCATAGGGCGGGGTGCACCAAAGGTCGAAAATCCAGCATTTCCAGGTGAAAATGTAACTCTCCCGGGGAGTGTGACCCCATGGATTCCCCATCGCCCAGCGTAAATTAGGGCTCCATATTCATCAACCGGCTTCACTGCAGGCTGAAGAATGAGCAAGAAGAAATGCTTCAAATGCACACATCATTGGAGATGCCAAGGCAATAGAAGTTCAATAATCGTCTATTCATGGACCCAAAGTTTAAACACTTCTATTAGATGTGAACATTTTCTAGATAAATGAAGGTTCCTCTACATATCTTACATCATCAACACTGACGGGGAAAAGATATATTGGGTCAGCAGGAGTGTACTAAGAATCGCAGAAGGGTGAACTCACATTTATATATAGATCAATAAAAGATAGCTTTTCATTTGAATTGTCGGCCGCATTAATTTAGAATAAACATAAACTACTGATGAATGAGAGGAAAGACAAGGAAAGCACATCCGAAAAAAATGAAAGAAAATAGTTTCAGACACCTCACTCTAATTCAAAATAATTATGTCCAGAATTATCATGTTAACATTAAGAAATTCAACACTTATCCATTTGAAAAAGACGAGCCAACAAATACAGCAGGCCATAGCAATTACTATCCAACGCTATGTTCAAGATCTACCTGAGGTATCCGAGGAGACCTTTTATATATGTCCCAAATTTCTTCAGCTTTAATCTCTCCCTTTTCAAGTAAAATATCTGCATGACATGAAAGCATTGAGCCAACCATGAAGTAGTGCATGATTACAACTTGACTAAGGATGGAAGCTCAACCTCTCACACAACCAAAGTCTAACCAACAACTTACTTATTTTTTTAATTTTAAATTGAATCAAACAGATTAATAACCTGTAATTGTCTCTACGGCTGAATGGTACTCCCTTAGTACAGATGAACATTTGTCCTCAGCATAACGCATATATTCATCTCGAAGTGCTTCAAGCTTGGCTGCAAGCTGTTTTAAATTCACAAATTACTGAAGCTATTTGGGTCCTCCAGAAAAGTATTTTTTTCTGAAATGATACAGAATGTAACTCAAATCTATGAAGCATACATTTGGCACAAGATCACTTTGATTCCTGTAGTATGCTTTCCCATATGCTGTCATTCCTGTCTGCAGAATAAGAAATTCTGCAAGCCTTGAAGCTTCTAATGTGGCCTTTGCAGAGATCCAACACAAGTTGTCAACTCCAAACATCTCCTCCTCAATAACTCTAGCTACAAATTAGGGCAATCAGTAAGCCATATCACTTCCTTTCTGCAGTTGTACGATTAGATTTAACAAGAAAACCAAAAAGTAAAAAATCAACAGAAGCAGAAGCAGAATAAATTCATCCAGGTACCATTGCTTAATAATCAGGTTCATATCAAGGAGTGAGCCTTACAACTCCTGGTTCAACATCAAAAGCACTGATGCTTAAGTCATGTAGACCAAAACCAGTAGACAGGGGGTCACTGCAGGCCTAAATTCAGCTGTAGTTGCTACTTTGATTTTATATCAATAGGCTGTCGTTTATCCTAACCCTAAAATCTTAGCAGTAAAGTTCAAGTAGTTTGAATGCTTTCTATAAACTTAAGGAACCCTTCTCCACGGGCTTAGATAACACCCTTTGTAATCTCCTCTCAGATTGTACAGGTTTTTCTACAGACCCATCAAACCCCCAATTTTTCTGAAACATGGGATAACAGCATATGTGGTGTCCACTTGAAATGAACAAGTAAAAAGGGGTTCATTATCAACTCCTCTGGCAAAAAGTTAATAGCAATTATACTAAATGACCACAACAAATGAGGGAAAAAAGCTAAGCTAACACAACTCTTAAATCATACAACCCAGATTCCTAAGAAACAATAAACTCAGAACTTGGTTAATAAAAATTTTAAGGGCATATATTGCAATTGGCAATTTCCTAGCGCAAATCTGTCTAGTCAAGTTCAATCATAGTTGCTAGGATTGGTTGAAGGTTGCCTACAAAGGTTTGCTCATGATGCAGGACAGTGCAAGGGTGTGTGTCTGTGACTGCTAATTTTCAGGGTTAGTAGATGGGCTCATAAATCGATATATCAAAAACTAGTCTCTTTTAATTTCCTAATTATTGCATTACCAATTTACCACGGACACTTCTCTTTGGACCAAAAAAGACCAAAAAATTTCAGAAATTAAAACACAGTTTGAATGCAGGTTTTCACATATGCACTTGAGCTTGGTCCATGAACGCTAGAGTCTACAGAAAACATGTCACAGGATGATCGAACATATGTTATTGTAATATTTGTGTGATACAAGGTTAACCGTTTTTAAGATATTCAAATGAGTGAAAGAGAAACATATTTATAAAAAATAAAAAAAATAAAAAAACTCCAGCATGATGAGCAAGAAAGACAAACATAGCTCTCAAAAGTAAACTTGCTAACAAGACAAATTTTTTTGACTTACGAGCACATGCACGCACTATAGAGTTTACAAAATCCGATTTTCTTGAGAAGACCTTCCCCGATATTTCAGTGTAGCGCATATTTGGCTGACTACGGATGGATTTTATATCTGTCTGAAGAAGATAGAAACTATGAAATTAGCATGTTGGTAGACACAAAAATACATGCAACACACAGTAAAACAAAGTAGAACAATTAACCTCAGTGAAAGGGTGGTATGGATCAGGAAAGTAGCAGGCAAGGACAGCAACAGCTGCTTCTCGATATGCCAATCTCAGTTTTAGTTCCTCTGGAATTTCAGTACTATCTTCCTGACCTGTTTCAAACGTGCCCTTTTGCTGCAAATTGATAAACAAATACATGAACATGTGAGGCAGTAAGCCAGTCTATATAATTGGTTTACTCGAGCTATGTTGTTAGGGGAGCGGGAACAGGGGGTGCATAATATTGCCCAAAAAGGGATAGCTGGATGGGGAAAAACTCCACCAACCCTTTTCAAAGCCTCCAGAAGCTCTTCTCGTCCGATGAAATCTAAGTCCTTCCTGGCAGTCAAAATTCCAGCTTCATTCCTGTCAGGTGATGGGAAAAATGTAAGCATCAGTGCATCACTCTATTGCTACTGAATTGAAAATTTTAACTACCAATTAGGAATAAATTACAGTATGTTCTGCAACTCTGCACCCGTGAAATCCTCCGTAAGCTCTGCAATTTCCTGCAGGAGAACCTCCTTCTCCTCTTCAGAACGAAAAAATTTATTTCTAGCATGCACCTAGGGGCATAAAAAGTAGAACGTTATGCAAGGACTAGACAAATTTCAGAAGCTAGAGTTTCTAATGCTAGAAGCAATAAGAAAAACACCTTCAATATGGCCAGTCTACCATCCTTTGATGGCAAACCAACTCTTATAATCTTGTCAAAGCGGCCCTTTCTCAATAGAGCAGGATCAAGGATATCTAATCTATTTGTTGCACCTATAACTAGCACCTGAAAAAGACAAAATTAGCAGCCAAGATACAAAATTTCGTTTTGAATTCAAGGAGGAAGAAAATACATACCTGTGAGGTAAACTCTTTAAATCCATCCATCTCTGTTAGTATCTGAAGCAGGCCTTGTTCCCTTTCTGCACCACCCTTCATAAGACAATTGCAGAGACCAAAAACGCTGGTGTGAATTATAATCATGAAATCAACTAAAGATTCTTAAATTCAAAATGGCACCAGTGAACTAATTCATCAACTTCATAAAGAATGAACATGTATGAGTGCCTATTTGGAAGTCTGTTTGGCACCAATAAAATGAACGACAATTACATCTGTTTAGGTAAAACCATCACACATTTTTGGATGATTGAATCTGCAACTGCAACTTGAAAACGTGGCACCCATAAAACTTTTGCAAAAATGTGAAGCTAAATGATGATTTTTTTTATAAATAAAAATGTAAAAAATTGTATAAATGGGTAAAGCAATTTTTCCCTGATAACTATTGTTGAAGTATATAAGTCCCACATTGGAAACTTGATTAAATAAACATATAATGAATGGTTACACTACTAATACCATTGAGGCCTTTTGTGATAACACCTACTGGGCTTTATACGTGGTTAAGTTGGGGATAATATCGGTGTTGCTAGTAGTGGGCCGCTGACCCGTGTCTCTGAAATTTAACATGGTGTTGATTGACTGGACCTAAATTACTAGGCCTTTACCCTTACCCCTTATTCCTTACCCAACATTTGTGTTCACATGTTGGGCTTGAATGTTTACCCTTACCCAATACATGGTGTTCACATGTTGGCTTGAATATTTGACTCCAATGTGGACTTGGCTCCATGTGTAGCCCACTATGTGGTGGTCCCACGTGATGGAGTGTGTCGAAGAATATAAGTCCCACATCAGAAACTTGACTAAATAAACATATAATGAATGGTTACACTACTAATATCACCGAGGCCTTTTGTGATAAAACCCCACACCTATGAGGCTTTGTAGGTGGTTAAATTGCAGACAATATTGGTGTTGCTAGTAGTGGGCCGCTGGCCCATCTCTATGAAATCTAACTACTACTATAATCACAAGATAAACCAACATTTTTATAATCAGTACACTCCTAGCTTTTGCATGTTGATTTGTATTTTCATAAGAAACAAAATATTTTATTGAAATCAAACTGATTATGTTCGCGGGGGTCACGTTTTCCACTGTTCACATAATAAGATCTAGAGTACATAAATCTCAATCATACCTGTACCATTATTAAAGGTCCTTTTTATGGAAATCAAAATTTTATTAAACTCAAACAACACACATGGCAAAGTGAATGAGAGGTCCACACCCAAAATGATTCAACTCTCACCAAAAACAAAACCATAACATATTACATTTCTAACATCATTTGACAAAACTCCAAAATGTACCTTACAGCAGCACCCAATCTAATAAAATTACAGAAAACAAGAAATTCCTGAAGGCTGGAGACAGAGAATGCATCATAATTTAAATGTCCACTACCTAGAGTTATCAGCAGAGAAATGCCACAATGCATGCAATGGTACAGAATAATAGCAAAACAATATGTATATCATGGGCAATGTAAATAAAACGAAAACAAACAGACTTTGGAAGAATATACAACCCAAGAAAAGCCGTTGTAAAGCCTTGTCTATCTTTCAAGGCTAATGCAGTAAGACCACACAAGAATAAAATTAAAAACAAAGCAACTGCCAACCATTAATTCATTATTTTTCATCTCCCCTTCTTTTCTTTATGAAGGCGTAGGAAAGAAAAAGAAGAAAACTGAGAGAGAGAAGCGGAGAAAGGGAGAGGGGGGGGAAGAGAGAGAGAGAGAGGGAAGCAATATCTATAGACTTACCCCACCAATATCAGGTCCACCACGTTTGCTACCAATGGCATCTATCTCATCAATAAATATAATGGATGGTGAGAATTTTCTGGCACTAGCAAATAAATCCTTGACACGAGATGCTGCGACACCTACAAACATCTGGAGAAAATTTAAGTTAGATCATCTTCTTTTACCAATAAAGCAGCACAGTATTGATTGTGCTGTATGGAGACAACAACCAGTTATATGCCTCTAAGAAGGCAGTATAAAAAAGTACCGTACTAACTGTTCCAGGTAAATGCTAAAAATATCTACATGCATTTTAATAACATGCTGTTTCATCCTCTTAAAATTTTGTTTTACAAAGGCATTTAATCCTTTCCATTTCAAAACCATGACTTCAAAAATCTGCTCAGACCTCTACAAAATCAGTGCCATTTGCTGCAAAGAAAGGCAGTCCTGCTTCGCCAGCAATAGCTTTAGCCAGAAGTGTTTTGCCAGTTCCTGGAGGTCCATGAAGAAGTACACCTTTTGGGCAATAGATGCCTTTGTCTTGAAACTCTTCATCATTCTTTAAAATTCTAACAATCTCCTGCAGTTCCCGCTTTATATATTCCTGGCCAGCAAAATCATCAAAGGTAATGCCAGTAGATTCTTCTGCTGATATAAATTTTGCCCTGGTGGAAAAGCAACTATAATTAGGACCCGGAAAAGGTGATTGTTAGCAGAATTTGATGCCCCAATTAAATACACGATTATTGTGCACATTGTCATGTTCTAATTTTGCAGGGTGCTCCAAACATCATGTTCTGAAAAATTGAACTATCTAAAGAATCTTGACATGTTCTCAATTTGTTTTATAAACAGAAACAGAACAAGTATTGTCCAAGTTATTTTCCCCATCAAAATGAAAACACCTGTAAGTCAAACAGCCAACTAACTCTTCTTATTAAAACATCCCACTAACTCTAACGACAGAAGGGCATAATGTACTATGAAAAAAATCTGTCCCAAGACCCGCTTTGAACAACTATATGAGTTTTATAAATCAATAATATATGAAACCAATTCCAAAAATGCTTGACAATGCCCCAAACAACAAGCGACCTCGCAGTTTCTGAATATTAGGCTACCTACAAATAATAGCATAAAACTATAAAACCATCTCAAAAGATATCAGATTCAAACGGACAGCACAGAGGTGAGCATAGCTTGGCTGTTTCAGAAATAATTTTCCTTGAAAACTTAATGTATAATGACCCCAAGTAACTTTAAGAGTTACTAAAATTTATGGGGCACATCAACTCAAGTCAAATTTACTAATTTTTTTAATCCATAATAATTTAGTAAAAATAATCCTTAAAAAAAGGGTGATCTTGTCAGCTATCCACAAGCAAACTCGGACCAAAATGAAGCATCCAACATGTCACCAAGAAATTACTCTCCACGTACCGGCTCTTGCCTAATGATCCAAGTGCACGACGCTTGAGTGGCTGCCTAGTTTTTTTGCTAGGAGTTCCTAAATCACAAGGTATTAACTTTGCATAAATTGGCCGCATCAAGTTGTCAATCCAGAGATACAATACAATAGACAACGCAAGCCGCATAGACCATATGACTGCAGTTGCAACAGTAGAATAGATTTCAGCAGGTACTGTATCAACATTCAGAACCTCAACATTTACTATTTGCTGATGCAACTTCTGCCAAACATCATTCCAACTGTCTATTGGCATTCGGTCAACAATATGACGCCGAAAAATAACCTCCTTTTTTGAATTTCCTTCCGCTCCTTCCATTTTCTCATCTTTGTAGTAAGGTAGAATCACTGCAGAAGTAGGCCATTATTGAGCGCAATGATTTAAAGGAATAAAGATGACACGTTTACAAACTAGGCAATGTGCTGGCATATGCAACTATCACCAGAGAGACAAAGAACCGAAGAGGTAAATGTGTTTCAGAGGTTACAACAGATTTTTCTGATAAGAAACAAAAATTCATTATAAAGAGAAAGAACAGAAAACACAGGGAACAAGGTGTATGAAAAAAAAACATTTAAAGCAAAACTAATTCACAACCACATTCCAATCAGAATAAAAAACATGAAAAGACCAATGCTTAAAATCTAAAGAAACTGAAGCCCATAAGTCTGTGCCCAATGAAACATGATAATACATGCAAATACCCAATAGCAAAAGAACTCCATCTTACTCCATCTTTTAATGGATAAGATACAACATTAAATGCATCAGATATTTGAAAGCAACAACTGCATTGACTAAAAGCACGGCAAGGAAATACTTTTAGTGCATGGAAATTAAAAGAAGAAGAAAATTGAGAACAATGGCCTAAATTTGAAAAATAGCAGCAAATGAAAAAGTACCAATGACCGGGAACGCAATTTAAATCGCATTAGATAAGAAAACAAAAATTCTACCTGATATTGTTTGGCCATAGTTTGAGTACTCCATAAACTGGACATTATTTGAGTTCAGGAGTCTCCAAAAGTCACTGAAGTCAATCCTGTGTGAGTTCTCAGGATCCCACTCTGATCCCCTTAACTTCCCACGCATAGTCAACAAGGCCCTGCTCCAATTTGAAGCCATGACAAGCTGTCTCTCTAACTGCATATTCGCCTTGTTCTCAAGTTCTTCTAACTCATTTATCCTTTGTTTCTCTGCATCCTTCAATTTCTATAAATTAAGAAGAACTAATAAGTAAAAGAATCCAAATAACTGTCATTGAACAAGTTTTCCTTTTAGATTCATTGAATTAGTCTTCTAACTCAAACAAACCAGCAGAAATCAAACTTACCATTAAGATTCATCCTTTTACTTCATTTTCCCAATCCCCAAACAGACTATATACAAATCCCCCACAAACACATAACCAAAACCACCGTTGTACGACCACAATTGACTGCCAACAAAAAATATGAAAACCTTATTTTCCAATGATTAGAACAGCATATGAAGCCGAATTACTTTCTTAATTCTTCACATTAATTATATTCCCGTGAATTTCCCAATACCTAAACAGACCCAAACAAGATAAACTACAACAACCCATCACCAAAAGACACACAAGCAACAAAAATCTGAAAAAAAAATATATATATATATATACCTCAAAAGCCCCAACGACCGAGTTCGTTGTTCCTAAATCGATATCTTCAACTTTCTCGTTGACTATGCGAAGCTGTCCGACTCTTCTAACGAAATTGGATGTCGGGGTCATAAACATAAAGCCATTTGACGGCGACGTTTGGCCCAGTCTCTGACCTAAAAACAAAGCCCTTGGGGTTGTGAAATTGGGGCTCTTGAATGAAGAACCATGCGCAGTGCCCAGGACGTTGATTTGAGCCGTGTAGGAAGTCATCACTGAGAATTTTCGGGTGAATCAGGGCTTTTCGTTCATCGCAAGAATGAGAGTCTTGTCCCAGCGCACTGGAAGCTTCTTAGACAAGGCAAGGATCGAAAATGTGGTTCGGCTTGACCTAATGAAGGATAATAGTTGCCCTTCGCAAACTTATGCTCGGTCGAGACTTGGTTTTGAATAACGACGATGTCGGAGGAGATGTTTCGTGACAAACCAAGTGAAGTGAAGTGAAGTGAGGAGATAAGGGGAAAGAAGGGAAATAAACAAGTGCAGGGGTTTTTGGAATGTTCTATTGCCCGTTATGATTTTATTTTATTTTATTTTATTTTATTTTTAGGTGAGACCCAAGGGTATCTACTGTCGACAGTAGTAACTAATTCCTTTCGCCGCGGGAGCTCTCCCAATGGAGGTAAACAGCTGACCACGAAATGCGCTCCATTCCCATGGGCGGGGATCGAACCCCCAACCTCATGGTTAAGGAATGAGGTGAGCTACCACCACACCACATCTCATGGTTGTTATGATTTTTTTTTGAGTGCTGCTAAAAGAGTGTTGCTATTTCCACCCCCATGTCCTATTTTCCCACCCACCATATAAATTTGAAAAAACACAATCTTATCTTTCCATCCACCATTATTCCTAAAATACCCATTATCTTTCCACCCATCAAGTAAAATACTCCAAAAAAAAAACTATTTCTCTCTCTTTTACCTGATCCCCTCCCCA